ATCTAAAACCCAACTGTATGTGTTTTTAACTAGTCAACACTAAAAATACAATTAGATTATGTACACACTGGAGTTGTTACCTCAGTGTATAGGGATCAGCCTTGGGTAAACTGCAAATGTTTGTTGAGTATTCAGAATAGCCTTTAGAGATGTTAACTAGCTAGAGTTAACTGGCAATTAACTCAAGGATTTAAAAAAAAAAAAAAAAAAGACAAGCCTGTAGCAGAAATTTATTAAAAGATTATACAAACAATTTCTGGAAGAAGTCTAGTCCCCCTAAGAATTCAACAGGTCTCCTTTTTAGTCAAGAGTGGTTTTGAGACAGAAAAGATACATATTTCGATGTCTGTTAAACATGACGTTTTAGAAGTTAATTCCTTCAGACACCCAGCCTGTGGGCCACGTACAGCCTGTGGGCCACGTACAGCCTGCTTAAGATATTTATCAGCCCCTCGGGCACGATCAACTTACCAGAAATAAAGCTTATAAAATTTATTCTTAACATATAAAATGCTAGTGCAAAGAAAATCTTCCAAATGGGAACTGCATGCAGCCAATTAAGAGTCTACAAACATCCTGAAACAATTCTGAGATACAGTCAGTTCCCTTTTATCTCAACAGAGTGTTAATTCTTAAACCCAATTATGGTTACGGCTACACTAGAGAGCTTACCACCACTGTAAGCTCTCTAACCGCTCTAAGCCTACGGAAGAGAAATCTCCCATCAGCATAGCGCTGTCCACACCGGTGCTTATGTCAGTGTAACTTATGTCTCTCAGGGGGGTGGTTTATTCACAGCCCTAGGCGATCTAAAATATGCCAATTATGCTGTAGTATAGACATAGCTTATGACCTTTTAAAAGTAAGATTTTTAAATAATGTAAGTGTACAATTGCCAATGTAAATTGCACAATTATACACATAGGACAGTTTCAAATGCAATTACCTGATTTAACAAAAATATCACATCTACGTTAGGGGAAGTATTTTAACCAGTTAAAACCCTAGTGTAGACAAAACCATTATTGCTTTAATATGTGTTAGCTTCTGGAGGCAACTCGGAAAAGCACTGGTAGGTGCTTTGTAACAACTCTGCCCAGAGCTATTCATTTCACTTTCATGAGCACTAAGCTTTACAACTAAAAAATAATCTTACTGTGCTTAATGAATAATCTCTGCAACAGTTTCTATTCCTGAGTACGTCAATAGTAAAAATCAGAGAAGTGAAGAACCCTGCTCTATACTTAAATGCAAAGTACAATCATCTTATAAGTCTTTATCGTGCTCCCTAAATTGAATATGGTTATTAATTTCTTATGCATTTCATTCATCGTAACTATTCTAGGAACTACTAGTATTACGTACAAAATGTTTCTATGATTATAAATTATAAAAATACGTGCGCAGACTAGACAAGAAAAGTGCAACAACGTGTGTTCTTGCTGCACAGGTTGGATACTGGCCTTTGTATTATCCATGCCACTGAAACATAACAGGTTTCAGAGGAACAGCCGTGTTAGTCTGTATTCGCAAAAAGAAAAGGAGTACTTGTGGCACCTTAGAGACTAACCAATTTATTTGAGCATGAGCTTTCGTGAGCCACAGCTATGAAGTGAGCTGTGGCTCACGAAAGCTCATGCTCAAATAAATTGGTTAGTCTCTAAGGTGCCACAAGTACTCCTTTTCTTCTTGAAACATAACAGGCAGCAACTTAAATGGCGGCACAAAGTGTACCAGCTATTTTGTAAGGCTTAAAACATCAAAAAGGCAATTGTATTATTTGTGTTGATTAGTACATAATTATCAACCTCCCTCACCCAACGTAAAGTTACACAGGACAACGCAGTGAAAACTTCCCATAAGCAACATTAACAACCATCTAAAAGCCCTCTAAGTTTCAACAATTTCTAATTGAAAATGCCTAGTTGGTCAGCTTCATTTTCAGTTTCTGCTTATCACTACTTCTTCACTCTTACAAACTAAAATATGGCTGTCACATTGGATTTCCAATGATACAGGGGAATGCGTAGTTAAAAATGTGATGAAAACATTTATATCAATGTTTCATAAAACCCAAAATAAGATTTGGGCTTAAGCATTTTAAGTGTATTATTCCTTTAAGTTTTTTTTTCTTTTTAATTAAGGGAACACTTTTTCTCTAAGGTGCCACAAGAACTCCTTTACTTTTTCCACAGCAGCTGTTGTTTCTGGAGGGAAACGTCAGCTGCTTTTCAAAATCCACAATCTTAAACAGTGTAAGATTACCAATGAGTTCACTGTAACTCCCTACAGTAGAGCCCATTGATAATGAAATAGAAGGCAAATACCAAATAGCTTCATTGCCACATAATATGAAAATGGTCATTCTGATTCTTTACAAAATGCAACTTTATGATGAGGTGGTTCCCACTGCATGGGTTCTGTAATATTTTTTTGCAGCTCTCCACATCTACAGGTCATCATTCTGGATGTAAATCTGTTTATACCATTTGGCATTACTGATCTAGACAAATCCAACAGGGATTATTTATAGAGTACTCACGCACTATCTCACATGTCACATCCATCCCTCAACAGAATCAACTGAAAGCTAATCCCAGCAACAGCAAGGAAAATAAATGTCAACTACAATGGAAAACCCAGAGTGGAAAGAGAAATTTGGTAGTTAGTTCAATTATGTGCACATAAGAAAGAATCACTTTAGTTAAGCATTTGATCTCACTAAAGAAATTACCAATCCAGCTACCTGCAGTACTTTTTGTGGGGAGATTACAGAGCGTTTCAGGATGTAACTGAGCAAAAGGATTGCCAGTCAACCAACAAAATGACAGTTAGGACCTCCCAACTATGATTCCTTGAAACCTTGACATTTGCCCCAGGTGATTAGCAACCAATAAGCAGCACCTAAAGTTACTCAGCTAATAGGTGCAGAAAAGCAAGTCTGGAGATACCTGTCACTGGGAAAGAAAGGCTCCATTTGCTCCTTCAGACAAGTGTGTAGTGCTGCAGAAAATCAGAGTTGGGAAAGGATAAGAAATAAGTTTAATAAGAAAAAATATATCAACTAGTATCGGAGAATAAACAGAATAGCAAGGGGAGAAAGGAGGAAAGTATACCTGTAAAGAAAAGGAGGAAAGCCAGGCAGGGAAAAGAATATGTACCTGAAAGAAAAGGAGAAGTGAGCAAGGAGGCATAGGGTGCATAACCAGAGAAGGTAATAAGGAACATCTGGCCAAGGCAAGCAACTCAATGGTATTTCTCCTGGTCTGTAACAGGATAGACTTTTGAATGCTGCATCCAATCAATTCCAATATGTCATGGAATGTTCTAGGCATCAATGGGCAGAACCCTAGCCATTTTGGTGGAAATCAGAAAGCCAGAAGGGGGTAGAGGGGACACACACAACCCCCTGCATTTAGTTAGCAGAACCTGCAATTTTAACCACATCTAATTGTGTACAGATCAACAAGCTGGTTCATAGCAGCATTGGGGGGGGGGGGGGGGCATGCCAGGAATCTGTGAAAGAGGAGGAATTGGAGAATGGAACACAAGGAGCTTATGCAAGGAATGGAGACTGTAAGAAGCCCCTTATGCGTGCAATGCACTCAGACTACAAACACAACAAAGCATGCGACTCTCTAGGTAATAACTGTGGTTGTGACCAGAATAAATCAGCATTAAATCAGAGATTATGGAGTGAGATTGCTACACAGCAACAGAAAACACAAGAACAGCAGCATAATCCTGAAAGCTTCAGGAAAGCCTGAGCTGTAACAGAGCAGAGAGGAAGCTGGAGATGATCAGCAGCTTGCTGCATCGGGCCCTTTCTTAAGGAGTGCTCAAGGATACTTCATGACAAATAGGCCTATCATCAGGGAGCTAAAGTACCCAGATAAGCGGACCCATCAGATATTTCCCCTTTGGTTTTTCAGTGCAGAGAGCCTCAAGTCCCAGCAGAAGTTACCAGAGAGAGCTGCTGAAAAGTGAGTCAGCACCACAGAGTTCACCCACCCCTGGGGCTGCCGGCACACAAGAAAGAGCTCCCTGGTTGTGAGGGGAGCACCGGGCAAATAGGGTGATGCTCACAGTGGGGGTGCAGGGGGAGGGAAGGATTCTTTGGAGGACCCACCTATAAGCCTTCCTTGGCACCACCTGCATCCACAGCCGACTCATCAGCTGTGAGGGAAGCACACGCTCATACTGGTGGGGGAAGGAGTCTTGGGGGGCTCAGGTACGATCCCCCCAGGAGCTTGCTCACCGCACAGGCATGGGGGAAAAGCGATTCTTCTGCGAGAGACCGTCCCTGCCGCCACTCGCTATCCCCGCCCTCCCCCAGGGCGCCACCGCAGGGCTCCCTGGCGAGGAGGGGCGCAGAGGGTGGGCAGGATGGCGGAGCAGGGCAGGCGAGGACTCTCCTTGGGGGGGAAGCACAGAGACCCTGCCCCCACCACCAGCACCACCTGCCCACCGCAGGGCTCCCTGCCCGGGGGAGGAGCGGATCCTCGGGGGGGGGGGCACAGGGGGATGCAGATGAAGGCCCCGCCCCGCCCGAAACCACCAGCAGCCACGGGGGAGGTCCCCGGCCAGCAGCCCCCTCCCGCGAGCTCCCTACCCATGAGGGGAGCACGGGGCTGCGCACGGGGGAGAGGTGTCGGGGAACCCACCTCAGTCCCACCCCCTCCCGCGCGATGCGGGGCCTCCCCCTGCCCTCAGCTCCCTCCCGGGGCGGTGGCCCGGCCCAGCCCTGCCTCTAGGCCCCTCCGCGGCTCCGTACTCACGCGGCGGGCCCTCAGCTCTACTCGGCCTCAGTCAGCGGAAAGGAAGCGGCGCTGGCCGCGCGGGGGATTCTGGGTCGCGGCGCCGACCAACTGTGGCTAGAGGGAGGGGGAGCCGGCGGGCGGCGGCGCTGAGGGGGGCACGTAGAGCGGGCGCAGGCACGGCCGAGGGGGCTGCGAGAGTGGAACAGTCCGGATGAGGGGTGGCTCTTTGCTGTGAGGGGGATGGCCCGTTCTGTGGAGGGGAATGGAAAAGGCCGAGGGATTGGACACCCCCTCTTGCGACAATGGAACATTCCAGAGAGGGCCGGCTATAGGAATTACAGCCTACCAGAGGTGGAAGAGTCCAACGGGAGGAGGGGGGGAGGGCAGGACGTTCCACCTCGGGAGGGGGGGAGGAAGAAGAGGAGGAGGCGGAGCAGCGACGGCGCATGCGCTGTGGCCGCCGGCCCGCCCTATCGGCTCTCAGGGGCCAGAGAGGAGACAAAAGACCTTGGCTCCCCGCCCCCGCCCCCGGTTATAACGCGCCCCCCCCCCGCGGGCCGGGCCCCTCCGTCTCCCCGGGACGGTCCAGGGCCGGGCGGGTTTATGGCGGCCGGCGGCCGCGGCCCCGGCGCCGGGCCCCGCCATGGATCCAGCCGCGGCTCGGCCCGGCGAGCGCGCTGAGCGGCTGCAGGCAGCCCCCCGCATGGCCTGCGGGCGGGACGCGCCGCTGCCCCCGGCCGCCGGGGACCCCCCGGCGCTGGGCCTGCGGGAGCCGCCGCGGAGGAGGCGCTCCCCGGACGGGACGGGCTCCCGGCGGCCCCGCGGGCGGCCGGGCAGCAGCAGCAGCAGCAGGGCCTCGCCGGGGCTGGAGGAGCCGAGCCGCCGGGGGCCTCCGGGGCAGCCGGGCGGACGGAGCCCGCTGGAGCTGGAGGAGCCGGGCAGCAGGGAGCCGTCCCCGGTGTGCCTGGAGCTGGGCGAGCCCGGGGCGGCGGCGCGGTGCCGGCGGGGCGGGGGGCCCCCCGGGCGGGGCCCCGGGGGGCTGTCGGTGAAGATGGCCTTCCGCCGCGCCTACTCCATCAAGGACAAGCTGCAGGCCATCGAGCGGGTGAAGAAGGGCGAGCGGCAGGCCTCGGTGTGCCGGGACTTCGGGGTGCCCGGCGGCACGCTGCGCGGCTGGCTCAAGGACGAGCACAAGCTGCGCTGGTTCCTGGACCAGCTGGGCGGCGAGGTGGGCACCCAGCGCAAGAAGATGCGCCTGGCCAACGAGGAGGAGATCGACCGGGCCGTCTACACCTGGTTCCTCACCCTGCGGCAGCACGGCGTGCCGCTCTCGGGGCCCATCATCCAAGCCCAGGCCGAGGCCTTCGCCCGCCAGATCTACGGGCCCGAGTGCACCTTCAAGGCCAGCCATGGCTGGTTCTGGCGCTGGCAGAAACGGCACGGCATCTCCAGCCAGCGCATCTACGGCGAAGGCGGAGGGGGGGGATCCCGCCGCTCCGGGGACCCCGCCGCTCAAGGCTGAGCTGGAGCTTGGGGCCCCCTCTTCCGCCTTCCCGGACCCTTCGCTGCTCCTGCCTCCGCCGCCTCCTCCTCCTCCTCCAGCTGCCATGGCACCTTCGGACGGGGGAGGCTATGGGGACGAGCAGATCTACAACGCCAATGTAACCGGACTCTACTGGAAACTGCTGCCGGGCCAGGCTGGGGAGCTGCGGGCCCATTCCCCCCGCCTGCAGCCTCCCCCCCGCCGGAGGCTGGTGGTGAAGGAGTGCGTCACCGTGTTGCTGGCTGCCAACCTGACTGGCTCGCACAAACTGAAACCGCTGGTGGTCGGGGGGCTCCCAGACCCACCCAGTCTCCGGCACCACAACCAGGACAAGTTCCCAGCCTGCTACCGCTACAGTCCCGAGGCCCGGCTCGGACCTGCCCTCCTCCGGGCCTGGTTCTTTGAAGACTTTGTGCCAGGAGTCAAGCGTTATCTGCGCCGCAGCTGCCTCCAGCAGAAGGCGGTGCTGCTCCTCAGCAGCCCCCCGCCACCCTCCGGTGCTGGCCCAGAGGAGCCACCCCAGCTACAGACCCCGGATGGCTCCATCCGAGCCCTCTTCCTCTCCAAGGCTGCAGCGGGGGGCAGCTCGGCTGGAGGGGGAGGCCGTATCCCAGCCCCACTGGAGCAAGGCGTGGTGTCCGCCTTCAAGCAGCTCTACAAGCGGGAGCTGCTGCGATTGGCCGTGTCCTGCGTGGCCAGTGGGGGAGGCGGCCCAGCAGGGGGGCCCAGCCCAGCTGGAGGCGGGAGTGGACCCCTGGACTTTGTGCGCTCTTTCCTGCTCAAGGACATGCTCTACCTGGCTGGCCTCTCCTGGGACCTCATCCCTGCTGGCTCCATCGAGAAGTGCTGGCTGCTGGGGCTGCGCGCTGCCTTTGAGCCCCAGCCTGGGGAGGAGGAACAGGGGGAACCGCTGGGTGGGGATGGAGGCGGTGGGGACAGCAAGGTCTTCAGTGACCTCACCCACCTGGCTGCTCTGGCCTACAAACGCCTGGCACCTGAGGAGGTGGCCGACTGGCTGCACCTGGATGATGCGGCGCCAGGCATGGAGGGGGAGGATGGGGAAGGGGATAGTGGGGATGAAGGACCTGGAGGCTGTGGGGGGGATGTGGAGGAGGAGGCAGCAGAGGTGGGTGCCGGAGGTGTGGGAGGCAGTGGAGTGGAAGAGGGAGGGGATCCCCCACTGCCCACGGCCCGGGAAGCCATCAGGGGCTTGGAGACAGCACTGCGCTGGCTGGAGAGCCAGGATCCCCGACAGGTGGGACCACTCAAGTTGGTGCAGCTCCGCTCCCTCATTAGTATGGCCCAGCGGCTGCACCAAGGGGGTAGCTCAGACTCATAGAGGGTGCGAGGGGGACTGGAGCTGGTCAGCCACCTACTGGTGCATCTTTGGAGGGGTAGCCCCACCAAACTCCCATGGGATGGAGGGGAACTAACCCCACTCTGCAACGGGACTGACAATGGGGGACCTAACCCCCCTCACTCATCGTTGCTAGGGAGTGGGGTCTAATACCTCGTGGGGCTCAGATGTCCCTCCCCCTGGAGCTACCCCCCTGTAATGTCACTGAGGGGTAAGCCTACTTCCTGGGGCTAATAAGGGGGGCTAACCCCCCCCGCCAAAATGCCATCACTTGAGGGCTAGTCCTCACTCAAAACATCATTGGGAGGTGCTATTCCCTACTCATGGAACGTAGGGGGATAATTCCCAGCAACATCACTGGAGGGCTAATCCTTACCCCTGACATCAGCAGATCCCCCAACCCATGGGGCAGAGGCAGGGGGACCAATCTCTGTATCCAGTGTCGCTGCAAGGAAGGGGCTTATCCTCATCCTCCTGGGATTGAGGGGAAATTAACCAACATCCCTGAGAAGGGCTGAGGCGAGGGACTGGACATCAGTGGGACAGAGAAGGCACGCTGCCCCCTAGCTTGACTGAGAGGAGGGGACTCTCCCTCACACGGGTGGGACTGATGAAGATGGCGGAGCTGTGAGATGGTCCGCAGTAAGAATCCTGCTGTGAGGGGAAGGGGGCCATGCATGTCTATACACCGCCTAGGGAGGCTCTTCTCCAGTTGTAAAGAGGAAACCAAGTGCCGGGCAAGGAAGGAAGCTAAACGGATAGCTTGGCTGCTGTCTCACATGCAGAGTTCTGTGGAATTGAATCCAGGTGGCAGCAGCAGCCTCACTGTCCAGACCCGAATCATCAATGGACTGTAGCTGCTACTAGGATGTAAACTGGCAGCCACGTGCTTCGGTATCTTTTTGTAAGAACTAATGTTACACTCTGGAGGGGGCCTGGTCATTCATACCTCTCCCATTTGCTAACTGGTTTTTTGTTAAACTAGGGTGGGTTTAAAACTGGGGTGGGTTTTACATGCACTGGATTAGAACTGGTACGCTCTGGGCTGGGGGTACTCTTAATAAGCGACAGGCCACCCCGAGAGCTGGTGAGCTAATGTAACCTCCATGGCTACTTTATGTGCACAAGGGCTGCCATAGCCCTTAAACCCTGGATCCTTCAGACTATTTAAAAATTCAAATACCTTTTTTTGCAATCTTCTTATAGCAAAACAGTTAAGCCTGGTGACTAGGAAGATAACGAAATTCCCTTCAGCAGTGGGACGTTCTGCAGGCAGAAGATTCTTGGTTTTGCCTCTGTAGAGGCTGTTATAGTGAGGCAGCTGGTAACCTGTCCTGCAGCTGGAGTGAGGCAGGAATTGGAGGGGCCCACAACATTTATATTACAAAATAGAGGCATGAGAGTCTAATCGGAATTTTTTTTTTTTGGCCTGATTTAAAACAAAAACGTTTAGTCTGGCTATTTAGCAAAAATAAAAAATAGTTGAACAGTCCTGCATTGTGGCAGGTGGGGATGGATACTTAGCCATCTTTTCCATCTCATAACTTCAGAGTCTATGAAGATCTAATCAATTTCTGTTCCACTTGTGGGGGCGGGGAGAGGGGGGTTTGGTAAATCGTCCCCTTAGCAGGATGTATAGTGAAGCAAAATAGATTTTAATGTGACTTGTCTTCTTCAAACGATGTGGCAATTAAGCTTTTGATTTAACCCTTGAAATTGCATTAACTGTACGTGATTCTCCCAAATTTGTTTCAATAGGCAGTCATCCGGTTACCTGTAAAAAAACAAACAAACAAAGAACCACTGGCTGCTCTGAAAAAGAATCTCCTGACTTGTAGTTCAACTCTTGCTTCTGAGCCCATGATACTGAGACTGAGTATCTGAGACTTGTTCACAAAATAAAATCTCATAGCGTGAGACCAAGAAGAGTGAATACATTGATACAGTTGCCTTATAACCCTGGTTTTCTCCATTTGGGTAATCAGCTCTGAATGGTATCCTTTAAAACTGGAATTCCAGCTTCTGCTTTGGAGTATCTTTATTAGGGACGGGTAAAGACTGCCTGCTAGCGAATGAAAGACAGTTAATTTAGGAAACAATAGACACAAAAACTAGCACGCAACTGACAGCAGGGTTCATGTTACAAGGAAACTGTCTTTTCAAAAATATAAAGGTAAATTCCACTACAGTAATGTTAAATACTTAGATTACTGGAGCCATATGCACTTTTTAAAAATATCTATCTTTATTTTTGCTGTTCAATTTGCACTGTCTTCAGAGCCAGCATATGAAATTGATCAGACTATTTTCAGTTTTCTCACTGTCACATACAAGTGTATGGCAGTGTTTGAGTTGTGAACACTATAGGAAAGTTTTAAGTTACATAATTACTTCCACTGATTTACTTATTTTGATTATTTAAAAATCATTTCTATTATGTTTTGTAATTTGTTTAACAAAACTTAAATTTTAGTCCTAAGCTTCCTATATCGCTTGAATATAGGTCAGCAATTTGTATATTGCTGAAAGATATCCTTTAGTCAAACACAAGTCTTTGGCTCAGTACAGAGGTAATGTGGTGAAATTATATGGCCCCTCTTATACTGGAGGTCAGACTAGGTGATCTAGTCCCTTTTGGCCTTGAACGTCTGTGAATCTCTATGAAGATTTAAAATGTCACTCTTTGAAGGAGAGTTGGAATTCTGTGAGACAATGATTTCTCATGTGGAGCTGCATACGTCACTTAGGGATGGGGGAAGATCCCACTTAAGCCTTAAAATTATAAACTAGCTACAGCTTCTGGTTCCAAAGGACTGGACTGTTAGGAAGATGGAAGAAGGTGAAGGACTTGAGTCACGCTGTTGACCCTGTGGCAGGCTGGCTAAACTTTGCAGTTACTAATTTCCTTTATTTTTGAAATTAGTGTGGCTAAGAGAAAAGTGACTACACAAACGGCCTTGGTGGGATCCCTGTTTGTCTTTCAGTGACTCCAGATAAAATGGACTCAATTATCAAGTAAAAAGATGTATTTTATAAGTACCGGTGCCATTGACTCCCTCAGGATCTGAAAGTCAAGCAGGGTCCTTTCTTGCTTTGCATCATCACAAGGAATAAAGATTCCAGAGCTGGAATTTATTTGGCAAGTCTGTTGATGATGCGTGTGACAGAGTAGACACCAGCTCTCATGAGCTGCTTTATATGTGTATGGCTAAGAGGTGTAGGACGTTTATCGGAAAAGTGATCTGTTAAAGGATGAGCCGTTAACTACAAAAATTAGGAGTAAACACGGCAAAAAAGTAAGTCGTACCTGGTTCAAAAAATAATGTAACTGGAACAGATTTCCTTAAATCAGTAAGGATTTAACTTTGTTTTTTATAAACATTTTGCTAAAAGCTCATTTTAAAAGTACCCCCTCCCCTCAGTCTGATCAGTGTCATTAAGGGAACCAGGAAAAGATTATTAGGAAAATACAGTGAACACTTGGGACTCAGATGGACTGTTTCAGGGAAAGGAACTGATTTCTTTTGTTTCCACATTGCTAGTGGAAAGGAAAGACCCCACCCTAAAATTTTTAGTTGGTGTGAGCAAAGTGTAGCTCAGAGCTTGGCAAGATGGAATATTGCATGCTGGGTCAGGTAGTCTTTGGGTTGAACCTCTTAAAAACAACAGTGGCTGTAAAATGCTCTTTTTATGTAACTTAGGTTCATCCCTCAGCTTTCCAGCAAGCTGCCAGCGTTAGTCCCAGTTGGGCAAAGTTTGGATAGCACTGGGACATATCTGTATGGAAACTAGGGGTTGCTAAAGCAGCAAGCTGAAAGGTGAAGCAACCATCAGAGGAGCTGCAAAATCCACTGGAAGAGAAGATTTAAGAAGTTAGGAGTAATCAATGGTACCAAGGCTTTGAGAGGCTTGGGATGATGAAGATCGAGTAAAAGTGTTGTGATTTTGGCCTGGAAGAGAGCTCTGTCTCACTGGAGTGTAGAGGGCAGAAGCAAGATGGAAAGTCAAGGATCAGATTGGAAGGTGATGTCAGATCTTATTAAAGAAATCTGGACGATCTGATGTGAGAGGGGCAGGAGGGAGTGAAAAGTAGCAAAATGAGTTGGGGCTACAGGTGTGAGGGAGGAGAAATGAAAAAGCTGGCAGAATTAAAGGAAGAGAGTGAATTTGTAGTGGAGGAAATCCGCATGGTCATGTGACTTACCCCAGAGATGATTAATACCACCTGAGCAAGAGTGGAGAAAATGGGTGTATTGTGGTTGTTTTTTAGCTGCCAGGTGGCTCAGAGGAGACCTGGGAAGGTGCTGTCCCTGCCCCAGAGATCCCACAATCTGAATATTTGCTGACCTGAATGAAGGTGACAAACAGGTGATGAAGTAAGGGAGGTACACGCTATACCATCACACCGATAAGCCATGTATGTATGTTCACAATTAGGGAGTATAGAAAAATTATTTGGAGCTCATTTTAGCATATTGGTGAAGTCATGTACTTTCTAGATAGGCAACAATCTGGAAACTTTCTACTGTTTTTTAAGAAACATAAATAAATACTGGTAAACGTCAGGCCTTGTATGTTTCACCTGGGAACCTACTTGTTTTGAAATCCTTGATCGTGAGGCTTCTCTTTGGGTGGCCAGCTATGCTTTGCAGTACTAGCTGCTGTAAAAGTCTTTTCCCCGCTTCCTCCCACCCCAAAAACCCCCCACAAAGACCCAGTATGGCTGACTGTAGCAATCTCATTCTGACCTGTATCTTTTCTGCCAGTCCCAACAGAGTCTATTAGTTACTGCTTCCAGTCCTGGTCTGTGGGAATTAATAAAGCCATCAGTCAAGTGAAAGGTGTTTTTTCAAAAATTCTGTTATACTGAGGGACAGCTTGTGAGCTGCACAGAAACAAACTTCATAAATCCGTGATGACCTCCTTGTCCTCTCTCTCACCCACTCACATACACCAATATCCTGGCATATTTCAGTGTGTCACCTTTTGGGAATCGCTGCTTGGGTTGCTTCAGGCCTGAGTGTCTGCTCTTCTGTGTGGATGCTTCAGGCTGTCCAAGGAGCTACTGCCCCAGAAACGGGGGTTAGGGTCTGTATCTCCCAGGCACGCTTTTGTCTCCCAGCATGAAAAAAATCCTTGTATTGTGCATGGGGGAGAGGGGGTGAGAAGAGTGGAAAAAGGGATGGTATTCTCCCCACGTTACTTCCACAATTCCAGAGTACTTGGTTGTTTCTGTTAGGATGATGAGCAGCAAAATAGTTAATTATACAGATTCAGTCACTGGAGGGGATGAGTGAATATTCACAGCTGGTTATTTACTATTCTGTTGATGTGTCACATAACCTTGCACCTGCACGCATCAATTTGTTTTAACTTGTGCTGCTTCTCCACTCTTTTAAATGTGGTTGCCATCTCGCCATTGGCGCAATGATGAGTCATAGATTCCAAGGCCAGAAGGGACCATGGTGATCATCTAGCCTGACCTCCTGCATGTCACAGGCCAGGGAACTCCCCCAGAATAATTCCTAGGGCAGAGCTTTTAACATCCACAGAGGTGCATTGTCACAATCTCAGAGCTACTTTTTCAGGCTGTCCGTATTACAGACTTGGTGTGACAGTGCTGTGTTGGGTCCCAATCAAAGTTATTGTTGTAGTAATAAGGGCTGTTGGGTAACACTGACATCTCAAAATTTTGCCACCGAGTGCTTTGGATGTTGGCAGTCTCTGGAGGAGTAACTTAGTGGCAAACAGATTTAGTTCTAATTTGTTTGTTACCCACTGGGAGGTTCATCCAGTGTGACTAGGGGCTGCTGCTTCAACCAGCTAGTTGATGGTGAAGAATAATTCTCAGAGGCTGAAATGTAAAGGAGGTGTGTTGCAATGCCAGTCATGAGAACCTTGAAGCTCTTGGTATGGGTCTATCGTGAAGTAATACAGTTGAAATACGGTTTAGCTCCATCCCCAAGAATAACTTTTCCCTTCCCCAGACATGGAATGGGAAGGCCTCTCATTTATGTCCCGTATTTCACCCTGTGAAGCACCAAAGTTCAGAATTATATAGCTAGGAATATTCTGCCTAGGGAGAGACTGGATTGTCAGAATCCAAATTTAGTGATCCGGTAGAATGGGGAGTTGTCCAGTCGGATTGGGAGTCAGGACACCGGGGTTCTAATCCTATCACTGTGGCTATGGCGGGGGGCGGGGGAGAAATGTAGAAGAGTTAAGGCGTGGGGGGACACTGGACTCCTGGGTTCTCCACCAAACTCTGGTAGGGAGTGTAGGCTAGTGGGGGGCAGGGGTCTGAACTCCTGCGTTCATGACTTTAGGAGGCAGTGTTGTCTGATCTAATGATTAGAGCAAGGGAATGGCAGCCAATCTCTCTGCTTCCCAGTAGGAAAACCTGTCTGTGTTGTTTGCTGGGGAGACCCTGGAAGATACACCTCATTTCCAGGAAAGTCTTGGGGGCAGAGCAGCCATGTCAACTTATTTCTGTGTGCTCCAGTACCTCCCAAACAATGCCAGAAGCTTGCTTTGAAACAGACATTGAACTGTTATATCTGGTTTGTACACTGACAGTGGCTCCTTCAGCTAAGAGACCAAAGCTTTACAACAAGTAGATGCTATTGAGTATAATCCCTGCGTGTGGTACGAATAATATTTAGCATGCAGAAAGAGTTTTTTGTATTCCAAGTGTCTTACAAACCTTAACTAATGTAATCAGTGCAACTCTCAGAAAGGAATGGAGCCTAATTGAGATTTGCAAAATGCTCGGAGATCCTCTGTGAAAGGGGCTGGATTGGTTCAAAGTGGGTCCTCCCCTTGATGTGTGTACACCACTCCCATGGAGCAGAGGATGCATGGATCCAGTTGTCCTTCCCATAGCAAAGCCTCGGGATTAGTGAATGCCCCTTGAGGGTACGTGTGCATTAATGGCTCTCTGCTCCCAGCTCATTGCAATGGGAGGAGGCTGGCTGAGGTCACTGTGCTTTGGATTAGGCCAGTAGGGATGGACAGGAACACTGATGACATGCAGTGGCTGGTGTTTCCATAGAGTCTGTAGCCCTCGGAGGAATCTTGGCCCTGAGAGGGAGAACTGTAGCTTTTTGGGGGATAAATGAAGCATTCTGGTTCTGCTGCTGAGGATTACGCTCTGCTCGGGGGGATGGAAAATGCCAGTTAACTCAAGCCCATCCCCCTGGCAAGATTTGGTCCCCAGGCAGAGCATATCCTATGCTTGATCTGGGATGAATGTCATATACCAGAGGCCCTAGGGAGGTGCATTTCTCAGGCATCAGCTTCCTCCCTTTGCTAGCACTGCACTGCCCTCCCCAAACGCACCCACTCCCTACAAGGCTGTGCTTTAATGCTGATGAGCCACCACCTGCTCTCCTGTCAGTTGCAGCAGCTCGGTCCCCTCTCCTTCCTGGCAGTGCTGGCCCCTGCGGCTGCAGGGGGGTGTGGGTGCGCACAGGTATTGCACCTTCCCGCTTGGGACACAGCAGGAGCTGTAGGGTTTGGGTGCTGCTGGATGAAATGGCAGGGGGGCGGCTGGGTCAGCCATGTGAGACTGGTTGATGGGGAGGGTGGGTCCATATGGTGGGCTAGAGCATTAGGCAGGCTGAAGAGGATGCAGTAAGGGAAAGCTGTAAGTCCATCTCAGCTGACCAGCTTCATCACCTCTTGTGAGTCAAGGCCACACAAGAGAAGAAGAACCTATGGGCCATCTTCTTTAGGGCTGGCCTGGCCAGGCCCCTTTTCTTTCTTCCTACTCTGTTCAATGCCACTTTCACAGCCAGGGGATTTGCTGCACTGCCAGAAACATAGATTTGGGAGGCGCTGATGAGGAACCCACAAGCTTCAGCAAGTGACTGCCCTTCTCTGCCTCAGTTTCCCCATTGTAAAATGGGGATGACACTAAGCTACTTCAGCAAGGATGTGGGTGGAGCACAGAGAATGTGGGTGTGAGCAGGAAAATCAGCCAGGTAGTTTAGCCCAGAGGTGGGCAAACCGGCTCACGGACCATATCCAGCCCGGCCCCTGAGCTAGGCCCCGTCCCCTGCCCTCCTGTTCCCGCGCCCCCGCAGCCTCAGCTCACTGTGCCACCGGCACAATGCTCTGGGCGATGGGGCTGCAGAGCCATGGCCTGACCCGGTGCTTTGTGCTGCGCGGCTAGCTCCAGCCAGGCGGCACGGCTGCTTGTCCTGGTGCTCTGGGCAGCGCGAAGGTAACACCACCAGCCACCGGTGCTCCAGGTAGCGTGGTGAGGGGGCAGGGAACAGGGGAGTTCGCAGTGGGGTGTGGATAGGGGTCAGGGAGGTCAGAGGGTGGGGAACAGGGGGGTTGGATGGGAGCAAGGGTCCGATGGGAGCAAGGGTCCTGGGGGGGCAATCAGGAAGGATGGGGGTTGGATGGGGCAGCGGGGGCAGTCAGGGAGAAGGGGGGTTGGATGGGGCAGGGGTCCCGGGGGGGGCGGCAGTCAGGAATGAGGAGGGGTGGATGGGGCAGGGCCCCGGGGGGCCATCAGGGGGCAAAAAGCAGTGGGGATCGGATAGGGGGCCGGGCCATACCTGGCTGTTTAGGGAGGCACAGCCTCTCCTAACCAGCCTTCCATACAATTTTGGAAACCCGATGTGGCCCTCAGGCCAAAAAGTTTGCCCGCCCCTGGTTTAACCCTTCTGCACTGGAAACCAGATGATCATAATGGGCAGGAGCTCTCTTGATTCACAGAGTCTGAGGGCCCAGTATGTCTATCAGGTCCAACCTCTTGTAGAATGCAGGCCAGAACAGGTCCCCCAGCGATTGCTGATGTGGGAATGATTCTTTCCCTCTCGTGTCAGCGAGTGCTAGTGAGCCAAAAAGTTGTGACTGAACTGCAGCATGTGTCTACACACGTCTGTGTCACGTGCAGCACGGTGAACAGCAGCAGCAGGTCCCACCAGAATTCGTGGTGAAGTTGATCAGTTTCAGGCCCTGACGCCGCCTTGGTCTCTCCTGTTCTCTGCCTGTGGCAGGCCTCAGTTTAGGCTTCCCAGGACTGAAAGGCTTTAGTCAGACCTAAGTTATTGGGGTCAATACAGGGGGAACGACATAAACATTTAATAGGGGTCAGACTTGAGGGTCCCCTCTGGCCTTAAATGCTGCAAAAGAAAGGTCCTTGGTTCAGCAAAAGGGGGCTGCTAGGAATGCGGAGAACAGATCTATTCAAACCTGGGGTGATCGTGTCACTCTTAATAATCAAACTGCTTCCCCTTAGCAGAAGGTGCTTATGGATCTCACCAGGAACCAGAGCTGTTCCCCTCCGAAAGACACTTGCCTCTGCGACATTACAAAGTCCTGGGTAGCACGTGCCATGAACCAATCCATTAGATCGGTGCCTTAAAAGGGAAATGTAAATAATCACAGCGGCTGAGTCCCCCTCGCAAACCTCAGGATTTTATGTGCTCATAAGACTATTTTTCTTTAGCTGGGTGAGTTTTCGTTCAGCCCCCGGGCTGGAATATCAATATCGAACTCATTCTAACCGCTGGCCTGCCTGCAAGCCAAGAAGGGGAATATGCAATTATAT